GGAATTCTGTAAAAACATAGCAAGTCAGACCCATTAGTGGATGTTAGAGAGGGCCACCTCTAACATCCTGGTAGCCAAAGAATGACACTCATAGGGACCACCTGCTCATCCACTGCCCTTTGAGTTTAATTTTTCTATGATTTTTACCTCTTCACTCATTTGGGGGTCTTTTCTCAGGTCTGGCCTTTCCAAGGCCAGTACAGGAAATCTATTTAAGCCTTTTTTACCTTGAGACTGAGTGGGTTTAAGACTGTGTTTGATTTGTTTTCAAATTACTTAGAAATAATTTCTCAGCCTGGATTAGATAATTCAGCTCTTAACTAATTAATGTCACTGAGTTGGACATGTAAAAAAGGTTAGAGTAGCAAGTGAATACATATCTACATATATGCATACAATCATCAATTTGGTCTCATATAGATAATTCTTAAACACACACATATCACAATTTTAAAATGCAGGTATCACTAAGGTTCAAAAGAATGCTTCAGAGAAACGGTATATTTAATGGGAAAGACTTAGCAGGAATCAGAACACCTCAGGACATTTCAAATCTCCTTCTTGGGCAAGTGTTCCCCCTCCCTGAGCCCCAGTTCCTCCATCCACCAATGGGGATAGAAATACCAGTCCTAAGGTGGTACAGGGGCTTTCCTCATATCCCGTTTTTGAAGCTTAACGTGACTACATATGTGAAGAACCCTGAAAGTATACCTTTCCTGTGACTCAGTAGTTCTACTTCTGGAAAGTGGTCAGAAATTCCGACTCTAACTTATATATGAGATGTTTATCATGTCGTAGTTTATAATGGTAAATGTTAAAATCAACCAAGTTTCAACCATAATACACTGGTAGGATATTGTGTAGCTCACTTAAAAATGCTATTTTGACTGAGTCGGCCCTCTGGAATCTAGATCATTTTACAGAAACGGATGCCTTTGTCTTCTAGTGTTGGTAAACAATGTTGACTAGCCCACAGACTGCCGGAGGAGGAGCAGCTCTGTCTTGGGAAAAGCACAGCCAGAATGCTCCTTAAAGGCAGGGATAAGGGAGACTTTGTCTCTCTTATTTGGACAGCTTATCAGGAGGAACCAGTCCCGCAAAAGGACATCATGTTCGGTAAAGCAGAGGTCACTAAAAAAAAAAAAGAGAGACCCTCGCTGGGAAGTGCAGGCACAGTGGCTGCAGGAGTGGGCCCAAAGCTGGCCGTGATTGTGAGGGTGGCGCAGGGCCAGGCAGCTCCTGTTCTGCTGTACACGGGACACTCCGAGTCAGAAGCAGCTCGACAACACCCCACAACAGTAACAACAGCAACAGTGTGCAAAGACATGTGTAAATATCATGGGAATGCAGTCACGATTCAGATTTCTGGGACATGTGTAGAATAAACAATAGGGTTTCCATGAACAAATAAGTTGCAAGGAAGAAAAAGAGAGCTGGACGGACAACCTACAGATTAAAAAGAGAATTTAAGAGATATCAATCGTCACAGTAAATCTTATTGGCATCCTAACTTTTAAGAGCTATCAAAAACATTAAAACTTTTTTGAGACATTTGAACATTTGATGATAATAGATTATTGGGGTGTTTTTTCCCAGATGTACTAATGGCATTTGTTATGTTTTCATAAATCTTTGTTTTTAGAGATGAAAACTGAAACATTTATGAGTGAAATTATGTGATGTCTTGGATTTGCTTGAACATTGCATGAGATGGGTGTTGGTGGGTATGATTAGACATGGAGTGGTAGAGGAGTTATATAGGGGCCAATTTAGAAGACGAGTATGTAAGGATTTCTTATCCTATTCTATTTGGGACATGTATTTAAAAATCTCAGTAATAATATTTTACCTACGTTTTATTTAGTTTGTTATTGTTGAGACTATACAGCAAAACCTATACCAATTCAATAGCTTTTATCTATGCAGTTTAGTGACGCTGATGACATGATTTCAGTTATGCAGCTGTTCACACCCTCCTTTTTTCTGAGCTGTCCCTCCGTCACTGAAAGAAACTCACTGCCCCCTCAGGTTCCTGTCTAATCATTCAAGGTGCTCTTGTCAATTTGATCCCATCTAGAGGATTCTTACAAGAGCATGATGCTCAAGGCAGTTAGGCTAAGGGCTCATGTACCCCCCATGGCTCCAAAGAATCTCGAGCTCATTAGAATTCAAAATGCTCATCTGCATATTCCTCCTTTTGATCAGGATTCTTCACCGGAATCTTTCATCAAAATGTTCATTATCACTTGGTTTCTTTTTAATATTCAAAATATGATGCTTACAAAGATGTACCAATGACATCAAAATACCCTAGTCAATTTAGTGAAATGCAATATAATGTAAATTATGTAGAAGGAAGGAAAAACTTAAAAGGAAACATATTAAACTGCAATTGTCTTTAGAAAATTATTGGCAATTTTTCTGCCTTTCCATACTGTTTAAATTTCCTAATAAGCCTATTTACTTGCTCAATCAGAAAAAAATAATTTCCTACTTTTATAGTAGAAAAAAGGATTTAATTTTATTTGGATCCATTATCAATGCCATGGAAGCAGTAGGCAAGAAATCAAACAACGTATTGCATGGGGCAAATGTGCTGCAAAAAGACCCCTTTAAGGTGTTACAAAACAAAGATGTCGCGTTTGAGGATTCAGGTGCGCCTGACTCAAGTCATGGTATTCCCCATGACCTCATCCGCATGCAAAAGCTGGCTGGTGACTAGGCAGGCTGAGGAAGAATGGATGCCGTTGGGTGATGGTGCTGCTGGAGACTATCGAAGACGGCGGCACGGACTGCCAGGAAAACAAACAAATCTGGCTTGGAAGAAGTACGTGCAGCCAGAATGCTCCTAGGCAGCAAGGATGTCAAGCCGTTGTCTCTCGTACTATGGACATGTTATCAGGAGGGAACAGTCCCTGCGGAAGGATATCATACACATTAAAGTAGAGAAAGCCTCTCAACCAGATAAATGGATGCAGCGGATGTGACAGTTGGCTCAAACATAACAATGATAGTGGTGATGGCACAGGAGCAAATGACAGTTGGTTCTGTTGTACACAGGGTCACGCCGAGTCAGAGCCAATTCAGTGGGACCTCATACCTTTCTGTGGCTCAAGATAGAACTCTAAATTGAAATGACTTACACACGTAAAACGGACAATAAAATAGCTTGCGTAACTGCAAAGTCGAGGTTTGGAGCTGGATTTCAGGCTCTAATTATGCTGTTAGGGTAAGGAGACCAGATGTCCCGCTTTGGGTGGGACGGTCCCAATTTTTAACAATTTTTCCCACATCCCGCAGTGTTTTAAAAAGTCCTGATTTTTGGAAAGAATGTACGACAAGCTAGGGTATATGGTTTTCGGCTGCCATGTGGCTATTTCGCCAGGATATGAGTTTTATCAATGGTGTCCCGCTTTACCAATGTTAAAATCTGGTCACCTTAAGGCCATCGCTATTTCTTTTCTGTTCATTCCTTTTTTTAAAAAGCATTTTATTGGGGGCTCTTTCAGCTCTTATCATAATTCATATATAGATCCGTTGTGTCAAGCACATTTGTACATTTGTTGCCATCATCATTTTCTTTCTTTTTTTTAATTTAATCATTTTATTGGGGGCTCGTACAACTCTTACCACAATCCATACATACATCCATTGTGTCAAGCACAATTGTACAGTTGTTGCCATCCTCATTCTCAAAACATTTCCTTTTCTACTTGAATCCTTGTAGAGGGCTCCTCATTCTCCCCCTCCCTCCCTTCTCCCTCCATCATGAACCCTTGATAATTTATAAATTATTATTATTTTTTCATGTCTTACACTGACCGATGTCTCCCTTCACCCACTTTTCTGTTGTCCATCCCCCTGGGAGGGGGTTATATGTAGATCATTATGATAGGTTCCCCCTTTTCAACCCTCACCTTCCCCTTAACCCTCCTGGTATCACTACTCTCAATATTGGTCCTAAGGAGTTTATCTGCCCTGGATTTCCCATGTTTCCAACTCTTACCTGTAGCTGTGTACATGCTCTGGTCTAGCCAGATTTGTAAGGTAGAATTGGGATCATGATAGTTTGGTAGGAGGAAGCATTAAAGAACTAGAGGAAAGTTGTATGTTTCATTGTGCTATACTGCACCGTGACTGGCTCATCTCTTCCTTGTGACCCTTCTGTAAGGGGACGTCCAATTGTCTACAGATGGGCTTTGGGTCTCCACTCCGTACTCCCCCTCATTCACAATGATATGATTTTTTGTTCCGGGTCTTTGATACCTGATAACTGATCCTCTTGACACCACGTGATCACACAGGCTGGTGTGCTTCTCATGTGGGCTTTGTTGCTAGATGGCAGCTTGTTTATCTTCAAGCCTTTAAGACCTGAGACACGCTATATCTTTTGATAGCCGGTCACCATCAGCTTTCTTCACCACATTTGCTTATGCACCCATTTTGTGTTCAGTGATCATGTCAGGAAGATGAGCATCATGGAATGCCAGGTTATTAGAACAAAGTGTTCTTGCGTTAAGGGAGTACTTGAGTAAAGGCCCAATGTCTATCTGCTACTTTAATACTAAACCTATAAATATATATACATAGATCTATTTCCCTATCGTTATATATAAATATATTTACATGTGTGCATGCCTGTATTTAGACCTCTATAAATGCCCTTTGCCTCCTAGTTCTTTCCTCTATTTTACTTTCCTCTTGTCCCACTACATGTTCAGCCTTAATTTGGGTTCCAATAATTCCTCTCAGTTACATTGCCCTTGATCAAGCCCTACCAGGCCTCCTACATCTATGGCCATATCTAATCTCTCAGGAGAATGAGTCAACATCTGTTGATTTTCAGAACGTCTGTCTTCACAGTCCCACCCTTTTCATACTTGGGAGTCTAGTAGCTCCAGGTCAGTGTAAAATCACTGAGTTAAGGCCGATTTATCACTAGAGGTGAAGATGTTGCCCGCCTTTGCAGATTGATAACACACATTTCTCCTCCCATCTAGCTACGTGGTGAACATTGGTCTGATTGACAAGCTGTGTGGTTGCTTCCTGTCGGTGCAAGGCCCAGTGGATGAGAATCCCAAAATGGCCATGTTTCTGCAGCACGCCGCGGGACTCTTACAGGGAATGTGCACGCTCTGCTTTGCTGTGACCAGGAGGTAAGGTTTCTTACCCAGTCTCAATCCAGGCTCAGATTTGAAGCCATGTCGTGAATTTTGTCCATCTTGAGGACGGTTCATAGGGGTGCAAATGGTCATCTTTGGCCCCTTTTTTCCTGGTCTTTCCTGTCTTTCTCAGCTGTCTATATGGAGACTTGTACATTTCTCATTTTCCCTGGTCACTGCTGTTTTTCTTGTTGGTGTGGTAAACTTGACTGTCATCATGGGAAGCAACCCTTAGAAACATCCTATCCCACTGAGGCCCGGAGGAATCAAGGGATTCTCCTTGAGTCAGGAGTTAGCCGCAAAGCTCAGACTGGATCAAGGCAGACTCTCAACAGGATGCCTCAGGGCCATGCCATGCCTACAACCAGTGTTTCCAGGTGTTCAGTTACACTTTCCCCTAGGCTTCTCCCCACCCTTTACCCTTCTTTCAAGGCGCCTCTTTGTATAAGAGGAGGGGAGCCATCCAAAACAATAGCTCCCTAAAGTCACACATCACTGGCGTCCATGGCCATAGTTACACCTAGAGTAGCAGAGACTTCTGGGTGTGGTTGGCCCTTTAGAGCTCTCCACTCTGCTCTCTGGACCGCCTGTTAGAGCAAAACAACAGCATCTCCCAAAGGGGCAGGGGAACAACTACTCCTGCTGCCATTGAGTCAATGCTGGCTCATAGCGACACCCTGGGGCTTTCTGGAACTCTTAGCTGTTCAAGTCAGTAGAAAGCCCGGTCTTTCACCTGTGGGGCTGCTGGTGGTTTTGAACTGCTGGCCATGTGGATCGCAGGCCAACAAGTAACCACTATACCACCAGGGCTTCTAAAAGAGGCAAGGAAGACCCCTTAAAGGGCTAGGAAAGAGCCCCTTAAAGTTAAAAAAGTTCACATATATATAGTGTATGTATATATATAGATATATAGCCATTGAGTTGATTCTGACTCTCATCCACCCGATAAGACAATGTAGAGATGATCCTTTGAATTTCAAAGACTGTAAATCTTTATGAGAGCAGCAGCTTCATCCTTCTCCCAAAGGACAGCTGGAGGGTTTAAACTGCTGACCTTGTGGTTAGCAGCCCAGTGCATAGCCTACTGCACCACAAAACCAAGCCAAACCAAACTCACTGCCATCGATTCGATGCCAATGCCTAGTCAGGCTATAAGGACAGTGTAGAACTGCCCTATGGGCTTCTCAGGCTGGAACTGTTTGCCGGCGTAGAAAGTCCTGTCTTTCTCCCTCGGAGCATCTAGCGGTTTCAAACTGCCGACCTTCTGCATTGCAGCCCAAGGCATAACCACTATGCCACCAGGGCTTCTTAAAGACCCCTCAGGTGTTCTTATTCCCTCTCCTCCCACAAAGTAAAGAATCATTACAATACTGCCTTGGTGTTTGTGGTAGGGTTATGATAGAGCCTCCAGACACATTGAAGATGTTCAGTAAAATATTTTCTTACAACTAAACTAAAATTATTTTAGGGATTTTCCATGGAGAAAATGAATTATTGGAAACTTCTAAAACATAAATGCTTAAAAATGTGTGTTATCCATCCTTATTCAGTGCACATAAGATGCCAGTGACTACAGTCACAATATTTCAGGCGAGAAAAAATGGTTTTCGGAGGCAAATACTCTCAACATTGTTTAAGACCATTATGCAAAGCCACCTACTCTAATTTTACCCCAATGCCAGTCTCATTTTTAGGAAAATGACAACTGTTGGAGATATTGGGGAAGGCAAATTTGTCCAATATCCAGTGTCCCAAGTTCATCTCTTCCCCATCTGGAAATGGCATGCGGAGCCCACGGCCCAGGGGTTAGATGGAAGCTCAGGAAGGGAGCTCCTTATGGGCCAGCGACCCAAGAAGGATCAGTGTCAGACTCCACAGATCCCAGCAGCGATGACAGGGCTCCCTCCGTGGCTGTGACACCAGCCAGTGTGCTGCCCAGCTAGCTCCTGTGTAATTGCCGGAAGTCCCAGCACCCGCTCTTTTGCATGCACATGACAAACCCACCAGTAGCACAAGTCTGCGTCACCCGTGCACTGTTGTTGACTCCAGAGGACAGCACCAGCTCAGAAGCATCTCCTTATGTGGTTGTGGGGCAGTCTGTGGGTTCAGTTTTCACTAGTACACAGATCCAGTGACTGGAGGTTTGTAGGCCCGAGAGAATCTCAAGGCCATTCAAGCCCCTCCTGTTACAGCAAGAGCCAAACTGACTTGAACTCAGTATTCCTAGCTCGGTGCTCCCTCCTATGCATTTAACTTTCATGGTCCTCAAAATGTGGACCCATTGATATTCTTTGACGACATTCTCAATTGCATTCCATGTAATGGAGAATAGGCGTCTCCTCTCCTTAAGGCCCGCAGCCATGCCCTTGTTCGCTAGACATCCCCTGAGCACCTGCCCTGCTCCAGACACCAGGCTAGGTGCTCATGATTCTGCCCTCAGGGACCCCATAGTCTGCTGGGGTCCGGCTTGTAAGCAAATAGTGCAGCACATAAAGAGAAGGTGCACGGAGGAAGAAGGAAGGTGCTCCCAGAGGCCAGAGGCTGGGTCTAAAAGGATGAAACAAATTCACTGAAAGACAAGTGCAAGAAAATCCTAAATGCTGAAAAGGCCATAACATGGGCTCTGTGTGGTGCAGCAGATGTTGCTGGTACTATGCTCACATCCTTCTGTGCCACCTTGGAGACTACCTGCCATGGCTGCCTGGGTTTCTCTGCCTGAGGACATTTTCTGTTCAGGGAGCTGCTTGACAAAAGCACAAAGGGTTGCCATCTGCAAGAGTGGCCCACTAACAATAAAGTGGTGTTTAATATCCCACCTTCTCTAACCCTCTGGGGGACAGTTGTAATGTGTCACCCAGCCAGACTTCCAGAGGCTCCTCATTGATGACCTGTTCATTAAGACATCCTTCACTGGCCAGTCTCACGTCACTGTCCCCCTTGTGTACTTCCTCACAAAGCAGTACTCATTTTCTTGTACCTGTGCTCTTGTTTGAAGATCAGCTCTTGGGGATGCATGTCCCCACGGAGATGCAGATATCAATGTGGGTTAGCTGTGCATCAGGGTGACTGTGAGAGAAAGCGGGAGATGAGGTGTGAAATGAGTGCAGTCAATGCTAGCTCTCTGAAGGCCAAAGGGAGGCAAGGCCTTGATGTGCTAGACCAGAGCTCTTGGAAGACACTGAGGAAGTAGCAGTCAGATTTCTGTCAGAGAATGGTCCGTCACTTCTGGAAAGTGTAAAGATGGCTGGGTAGCATGAGCACAGGGGCAGAAGTAAGAATAAAGAGACTCAAAAAAGAATAAAGAGACTCCTGTATGATCCAAGGGACAAATGTTGAGAGCCTCTTGTGGCACTGGAAATAGCGACGCACAAATACGTGTAAGAGGAGGTAGAACAAACGCAGGAGAGGCAGCACGGACTTGATGGTGCTTGACGGCGGGTGAAAGAGATGGTTCCTAGGATTCTGACATTAAAATGTTGAGTAGCAGGGAGTATAAGAAGCAGTTTTCCATAGGGGAAATAGGAATTTGGCCCTCCACACCCCTAGGGATGATCAAAGTAGACCAAAGTCCAGCAAACGTAAAGGAAATACACGCATGATTATGGAATATAAATACATGGAAATACGGATTTGCATACATGGCTAATCCATATGTGGATTATGGAAATAAATGCATGAGTGTGGAATATAAGTGTTACTGTGTACATACAGCAGGCAGCCCTGGTGGCACTGTGGGCTAGGTGTGGGGCTGCTTAACCACAAGTTCAGCCCTTCAGGTTCACCAGTCACTCCATGGGAGAGCGAGGGGGCTATCTGTTTCCATAGAGATATACAGTCTCAGAAGCCTTAAGGAGCAGTTCTGCTCTGTCCTGGGGGCTCACTGTGAGCGAGACTCCACTGGGTGGCAGTGGGCTGGGGGTTTGGGGTGAGGTACATAAAGTACATTTTAAATAAACCAGTGATCTACTTCTAGTGCATTTTTTAAACAATTATTAATCTGTTATTTTGTTGTGATTTTTTCTTCAACATAATGCCCTACCCCAATCTTTGCTGCTCGACAAAGCTCTATTAGTAGGACTTGCTCAAAAGACACATTCTTCCCTGAAAAGGGTGCCTGGAGTTTCCTGCCATGGCCTCCCTAGGGAATCCTTCCTGCTTTTCTGATGGAGGTGAGGAAACGGCCCTTAGCCGCCCCGGTTGTTCCCACCCAGTGTACTACATGAAATGGGAACACAAAGAGAATCTCCCTGCCCTTCCCACTTGTTGACTACAGTATTTATAAACCATTCCATACAATCCCCTTTTCTCCGTGGAAATTGTATTTCTAAATCATAAGATACAGTCACCTATTGAAGCCCTCTGTTCTAGACCTTAAATAGAGTTCCAGCACTCGGTCACAGCCGTGTCCAGAAAGGAAAGTGGTGAGTTCGCTGCTACAGATTAGAGTGGTCACCAGGGTGGGGGAACAGCCAGAACCAGAAGTGAGGAAGGCTTGCCCTCCAAGCCCGCTTCGGACCTGCGGGGAGAAAGACAAAGAGGAGCCAGAGCCACCTTCAAAAACTGCCTCCTGGGCAGGCCAACCCCCGGGGAAAATTGCATGGACTAATTGATGGCAGTCCTGCCTGTGTGGCGATGATTCCTGGGGGGGGTCTCCGCTGTCCCTCCATTGTGCCCGTAATCTCCTCCTTTTTACTTCTGGTGTCAGAATGTGTGCTGTTAATCTCTGCTTCATCAAGGAAGAGAAAGAGCGTGCACTGACGCACTGACGATTTCTGTTCGTTTCTTTTTTAATATACCCGTCTTGGTTTTGAACAATGAGCTGGGACTTCCTGAGGTGAACATTGACATTGTGATCCCGTGGGGAAAGGATTGATTGAATGTTAGGATTTCCCCCTAGATTTTGAACTTGGGGTCTTTGTACAACCTGTAATCCTTCATCATGTAAACAAAATTCAACCATCTCTTTCATTGACTTTCAGACGTACCTTCTTTCT